GAAAGTACAAAATGTGAAACATTGAATTTAAACTCAATGGTCTTAAGCTTGTGACTGTTCTATTTTCAAATCAGAATCGATTGGTGTTTGAATGTTACTGAAGAGTTCTAAACCAGGGCGAAATATCTGTTCAGGTGCTTCCTGGTTTTCAGTAGTTCTTCAGCCAATAATTGCAGTTCATTATTAAAACTAGATGCCAGAATTTTTGAGAACACTAAAATTTAGGACATCAGTTTACGTTAAAATACATATGTATTTGATTAAAATGATGTAGTAGTAGATAGAGTGACGAAATGAAATTGGTCACCTTGTCTATTTTATTTGACGCTTATGAATTTATAAAACGTTTCCATTTCATTATTAAAAGAAAAAAGGAATATCGGAACCAACCAAAAGTTGATTGATGAATTATTCCCGTTGAGCTATTGATTATAAAAGCAGTAGTTGATCGGAAGTCTTTGTCTAAATTGATGATAACTACTTTCTCAGTATAACTTTATGTCAAGATTTGAACTTAACAAACAAGAGGCTGGTTATGACATAGTTAATGATATTTAAAAATTAATTATTAACTAAATAATTCGAAAATGGAGATGAATAAGGGTAACTATGGTACGCAAAGGTTGGATTTGACAAAAATATGTTAGAGCTGACCATTATAGAATTAATAGAGCTGTATACAACAGATGTATATACATACACTAGACAGTAGACTGAATTACGTGTAAAACAATCCAGAATGCTTAAACTAGGTTACTTCAGTTTCCAGTACAGTAGTTATGGAGTAAATGATTGTCTTTATTTTTCCTTTCCCTATGGTATAATTATTGATTCTCAGAATTCAATAATACCCTTGTCTAATTATCGCTACATAAACTTATTAGTTTATTTGGTGATATCGAAAATAGTAAATTATTTCTTTATATTTAATTATACTTGTCACTGAACAACTTAAAAAGATAACGGATATATTCGTGAGACAAGCTAGACCAAGAGGCTAAAGGGTGTTAAGTTCACCATGGTCGGTAGATGACCAGCAAATAACTGAAGTGATCTGGTGACCGGAAAATTATACATAGAAATTTTATATTCAACAAACAGATGGTTTGATATCATGAATTCGTTTCTTTTTAAGTTCAAGCACGTTATTACGACTAGTGTTTTTATTATTTGCTACATATCTAAACATCTACATAGGTAAGTGAGAATAATTTAATTCAAGTTCATTACCTTAGTTATAATTGAAAATTTGATTATAACAATGTTTACTACGTAGCTCAATGTTGGTGCTTTAAATTTTCACAACAATATTCGTTCAGTAAATCTAAAAACTAAAGTTATAAGACATTACTTCACAAAGTCTTAACAAATCAATCTTATCCCTTCAAAAATATTATTCATTTCTAGTAGTACATATGTTTCATACCAATTTCTATCGTCTAAAATAATCCTAGAAACACTAGGATGTCTGCTTTTATGTAGTTGCATGTTTTGTCATCTACACCTTCTCTGCATAATCAACGGTGTGAAAATTTCAAACTTCTACAGTAGAAGCGAATATCAGGAGGTTAAACCCAGTGTGAGTAGAGAGGTTAATCTATCACGATGAATGAGTAACTAGCTACAAAATTTATAGAAAGCTACCGTTGAATGTATAAAGTGAACAAAATTTCATCAAACTTAAGTGTTGTGCTTTTACAACTGAAGAGCATCTGAAACTCAAAACAACTGTCAATCAACACCAAGGTCAGAATTTTCAACACAAACGTCAAAACAGTTCTATTGTATGAGGCGGAAACTTGGAAAACTACGAAAGCCATCATCCACAAGATACAAGTGTTTATTAACAGTTGTCTACGCAAAATACTTCAGATCCGTTGGCCAGACACTACCAGCAACAATCTACCGTGGGAGAGATCAAACCAGATCTCAGCGGAGGAAGAAATCAGGAAGAAGCGCTGGGAGTGGATAGGACACACATTGAGGGAAGCACCCAACTATGTCACAAGACAAGCCCCCACTTGGAATCCTCAATGGTAAAGGAGGGGAGGAAGACCAAAGAACACATTACGTCGAGAAATGGAGACAGATATGAGAAAATAAACAAAAATTGGATGGAACTAGAAAGGAAGGCCCAAGACAGAGTGGGATGGAGATTGCTGGTCGGCGGTCTATGCTCCATCGGGAGTAACAGGCGTAAGTAAATGTTGTGCTAAAATTATATGTACAGACAATTGTCTGAAATCTACTTAATTATCAATAATCATGACAGTAAATCGGGAATTAGAAAGTAGGAAAGATTGTAAATATTTTGGTAATTTTGTTAACACAAGAACTTGAATGCTATCCTGAACTTAAATATTTACAACCCTCATCGAAATGTTTTCTTTAAGTTGCAACACTTTTATCTTATCAGTTGGTTAAAAACTCAAGTCACATTGAGGATTTATGATTTTTGCTAGAAAGTAAACCTTCCATTTGAAACTACTGTTTTGACAATATTATTTTTACAGCTTAGTATACAACCATTGATACCAAATAAATGGTCTACTATTATTAAACATATGGTCAATCTGTACATCAACTGAACTGTAGATTAAGTTGAAACATTTACCATTGTGTAGTGCATAAATATATCACTGAGCATTGACAGTTTAAATTTCCGTAATGTTCAGAAATATACCAATCGGATGCAATTTTCATTTCGCTAGTAATTCGTCCATTTAAACCATTATTGATTATTATTATTATTATTATTATTATTATTATTATTATTATACTTTTATTCACGTACTTTCACATTTATCAACTACAAATTGTGGTCACAAGACCTTATATAATTAATTTTGAAATATGAAGTAATGGAGAATGCTACCCTTGATAAATATCCTGGGTACATATTTCAATGTATATTCTTAGTTAATATTGCATACTCTCCAGGAATCATTAATAGTTAAATTATATTAGACCGTCGTATAATTTTATACTGTAAATTATCAAAATTGTCTGACTATAGCGAAGTCCATAACTGAGTACAGAAATTGTATTCGAAAGTAACGATGAGGTTATTAACTTGATGAGAACTGAAACTAACTGAATCAGAGATCATTCTTATATTCAGTTAAATATATTCTAGATAACCCATAATGATGAGTCAAGTAGAAAAAGCGTAATTAAGAATGAGTCACTTTTAATGTGATGGATGTGACAAATAAACGGTAATTTTTGTAATTTCTATTTAATCAAGTAGAAATCCTTTCATTAATTATATAATTATAACTTTTACAAAGGTATATCAGTTACATTCATAATCTGAAAGGAGGTAAAGTATTTACAAGTGTGATATTAAAGTGAAATATAAAGTGGATAGTTCCTAGGCTTACATAACAATTAATACACAACCAGTACTGTGTATTTACTAAGCTTTTCAAAGGTTGTTTTAAGGCCGGGTATTTTCACAAAACAGTTATATTTACATGTCATATGGTTGAAAATTATTGATAAGGCGCTATAGGCACACATTGAGTGCACTCGTTAATTAGTGGGATCCATCTACAGTCTTTATGAAGTTGAAATTCTCCATGGGATTTGAATACTCGTCACAGTGTCACAGAGACATTAACACTAAACGGTTTGAGCTGTGACTGAAATTCATCAGAATTAAAATATATACACTGACTAATTACTGAGAAGTAACTACAGTCATAATTTTTTTTGACCTTAGTGTTGATTAAACTCCACCTATCAAATCATACTATTTACTGTCTGTATGTTGTAGGTATAACTTGCTGGAAATTGTTAACTAGCATGAAATTTAAATAGCACGTTTAATGCCGATTTCCTTCAATCATATAACACAAAAACATACTGTAGACATGGTGTCCAGCTAGTTTGACTAGTGGTTTTTATTACAACTTTACCGAAAGAATTCAATCAACTCTAAGGATTTCGACAAATATGACATTAGTTACTATTCCGTAATCAATTAGTGTATCATTGTCATTCACCTAGATAACTATTTCAGATTTTTTAATGACGTTTAACTATAAATAGCTTAAAATACTAGTGAATAAATGTTTTTAGTTTTGTTTTAAAACGTCGACAAATGAAGAAATAATAGATGATGTTCTTTAAAGAATAATTACGTATGTAAATACAACTGGAATAATAAAGTTTAGAAAATGACTAAAGGTTAAATCTATCATCAGTATATTGTAGGTCATATATATCAGTTAATCTGAAACTTATTACAAGTTGTTCTAAGCCTTTTAAGTAAACCAGAACAGTAGTTGAAGAGTTTATAGATAAATGCATTATATTATTTTCACTAAACTAAATCCTCTACTGTTTGGTAGAAGTAAGACAAGGTGGTTAATGTGCAGATATATGAAATGGTAATTTCCCGACTGTTACATTCTTACCTTTTGATTTACAAGATACTTCTGAAGTTTGCAGTCGTAATATTATGTTATCTTTCAAAACGTTTATAACCTTTCATATTAACCAGTTGGAACCTACTTTTAAATAAATGAGTATATTGATTAATAGTGTGGTGGAATCTATTCACAAGATTGTTTGTTAGTAGTATACAGCGGGACGTGGCATCAAAGTTGCAACAATTGTCAGACAGTAGAATTTTCAGTACATAGAAAGTATGGCGGTGGCAGGACACTGGGAACCTAGACGAGAAGACGATTTACATCGAAAGATGCAAATGGGTGATTGAAGGCTATACATATTCTTTATTTAAATAATTTGTAACTTTTTATGTGAAGTACACCTTCCTCCTGTTGATTGCCCTCTCACAACAGAATGTGTTGAGATAAGATTTTACTACTTAAAATTTTTTTCCGATTGAGACGTAGTTTTTGATAGACAATGAATAAAGGATGTTAAGTATAAAAAGTTACTAAACATAATAGTTACTAATTAACTAAATATTTAACTAACCCGACAATCTGAATGGCCACAAATAATGATGTCGTTAATTCTACATCGTATTAAGTCAACTCTAAAAATCCTGGTGTAACACAATTTTTATTAAAATGTTCCAGTGAAGAATTTTCACAACAAATGAAATTTCCTGGATTTCTTTCGATAAATAATTCACCAACATTTGAGCATAAAAGTTTTGATGTTAAAACACGTGAATCGACACATGAGATGACAGCAGCTAATATCTGAAAATTAGGACACATAAATGAATTACATGAATAAAACATTTTTATATGTTTTTAGAAATGCGTAAACGGTTATAATCTTTTGGTTACCCACACTGACAATGTAACTAGATTAGTAGTGATATTGTTGCTATTTGGATAGTGAACACAGAACCGTATGAAACCGGTCAAAACTACTATTGGTTTTTGTTTTATCGTGCTTGTACTGTTAAAAACATACTACTGGTATCAAAGCACTTCAACTGACAATTCTGATATATTAGAATTTGAAAGAATATCCTCCTTCTGTTATTTATTTTTGATTGGATAGTTATGATAAGTAAACCTGTTCGTCACGCTAACGTACAGCCACGAAGTAAAGCCGATACCTTTCAGTTATAACAATAGGGTGATTGAAAAAGCAGTGGAAAAATAAAAAGCGTCGGACAAACGTTTTGTCACATGATAAGCCTATAGTAATGCTGACTACTGACCCTATTTATACAATAAACTAAGTTATTATCATGCATACCAGAACTTGTGGAATAAATGCTATATCGAGACAATGCGTTCAGGAAATACACATTGTAATAGAGACTGGTCAATTATAGCCTTGAATAATACGAACTGGAAATTATAAACTTTTTCTATTACTTCCTTGCTTGTTAAACAATTGAGTGTCTATTCTGACTCAGTATATCCGCCTGTAGCTCTTTTAGGTTTATTGGCAGTCGCAAGCCCGGGTAAAGGAAGAGGGTTGATTATAGGGTCAGCAACCCCATCTCGTATAAAACAACCTTGCTAAAGAACCTTGACTAGAATAAACAATTTAAATCATTTAAACTCTGCCCTGGAAGTCGGAGGATTTCCTTTCAGAAGAATTATGAGTCCTCATAGTGAAAGCCGAGATTCTCCGGACGTCACAAGGCCAATGCCCTTTCTAACAACCAGAGCAACAATCAATATAGGTGCAAAAATTGTCCGGACAGTGGAGGAGGCCGGTAGGACTTATCAAATAGCTATGAAAATGAAGAGATAGAACATAGCATTCTTGGAATAAGTGAAATCCATCGGACCCAAGTTGGACATAAAAGGTTAGATTCGGAAAGATGCTGCTGTACTCTGTTTACGAATAAGAAAATGCTCCATACACTCAGGCAGTTGCTCCGGTGCTGTTGAAAGAAGCATATAAACCACTTATAGGATGGAATCCCATGGATTCGGGATCATCAAAGCATCCTTCAAAACAAAGTAGGAGGGAATTACAATGAAGGTTATCTAGTGTTATGCACCCACCAATGTTAGCAATGAAGATGATAAAGACTAGTTTTACGAGAGGCTGCAACCGATCGTAAAGAAGTGCACAGGAAATAACCTGGCCGTCGTGATGGGAGCCCTAAACACCAACGTTGGAATGGACGACATCGAATTTCAAGATATCGCTGGATGACAAGAACTGACTGGAAGAAAGGGACGAGAACAGTGAGAAATTTGCGAATTTCCGTGCACTCAACAAAACGGTTATATGCGGCACAATATTTCCACGCAAACACATACACAAAGCTACATGTATCTCACTGTATCGCACTACAGGGAACCAGATCGATAATAATTGCATCACTAAAAAAATCACAGGGTCAATGAAAGACTTAAAAACCAGGAGAGGAGCTGGCATAGCTAGCTTCAGATCACCACTGGTGGTTGTCAAGATGAAACTGAAGGTAGAAGAGCACTAGGCAACTGAAAAAATACAGTATTACAAAGGTTCAACACAGCCTCCCCTCGGCAAACTGAGAAACGTAACCAATTTGAGATAACTCTCAACAACAGGTTCCAAGCCATACAGGATCTATTCAGAAAAGAAGGAACTACTATGGAGGACAACTGCAAAGGGATCAAAGAAGCATTAAGCCCAACGTATCAAGAGGTTCTAGGCCGCAAGAATTACTATCATAAGGAATGGGTCTCTATCGAATTTCTAGACAAGCCTCAAGAAAGGAAGAACAAGAAGACAGCAATACATGGAAGACCTAGCAGCGACAGCGGAAAAAGTTTCAAGCGAAGGAAACACCAAACAACTGAACGATATAATGAAGAAACTAGTAGGAAAATATGGTAAAACAAAGCGATCAATCAAATAAATATAACGCGAGCCAGTCGAGAACAGAGGAACAGGTGGGTAGAACACTTTGAAGAACTCTTGAATAGACTAGCCCCACTGGACTCAACAGACACCGAAGCAGAACACACAGACCTTCCTATAGATGTCACCCCACCAACGACAGAAGAAATCATCATGGCCATCAGACAAAGCAAGAGTGGTAAAGCAGAAGAACCTGACATAATACAAGATGAAACACTGAAGTCAGGAATAAAAGTAGCTGCAAAGACGATCCACGTTCCATGCAGAAAGATTTGAGAGGAAGAACCAGTGCCAACAGACTGAAGAGAATGACATATTATCAAGTTACCGGACAAATGCGATCTGAGCAAGTGTGAGAACAACAGAGGCAACACACTACTATCGGTAACAAGAAACGTTTTCAACAGAGGGTTCTTGAACCGAATGAATGATTCAGTAAACACCCAACTTCGCGATCAACAGGACGATTCTGTTACGATCAGTCGTGCACAAACTAAACTGCACCAATACGGATCAATGTTGAACATTTAATTGAATGGAACTTATCACTAAACTTCAGCTAACTTAACTATGAGAAAGCACATGACACAGTGAACAGGAGAACCTTATGGAAACTTCCTCAACACTATGGTGAACCTGAGAAAACTGTTAGCATCATCCGGAATTCATATGACAGACTTCAATGCAAAGTCGTGCATGGAGGACAGCTGACAGATGGATTTCAAAGGAGTACTGGAGTCAAACAAGGTTTCCTATTCTCTCCTCTTTCTCTCTCTTCTGATGGTCAACTGGATTATGAAGACCTTCACATCTGAAGAGTAGCACGGAATAAAGTTGACAACTTGGATGCAACTAGACGATTTGGACTTTGCAGGTGACCTGGCACTTCTATGCTATACACACGAACAAATGCAGTTCGAGACAGCTTCTGCATCTGTAGGTCTCAACATTCACAAGGGAAAAAGAAAGATCCTAAAATAAAACGCAGAGAACAGCAACCCAATCACACTTGGTGGATAAGCCCTGGAAAATGTGGAAACTTTCACATACCTGGGCAGCGGCATCGATGAACACGGAGGATCTGATGAAAATGTAAAGGTAAGGATTGGCAAAGCAAGGGAATCATTACTAAAACTGAAGAACATATGGAACTCAAAACAACTATCAGATAAAATCAAAGTCAGAATCTTCAACACGAATTTCAATACAGTTTTACTGTACGGAACTAAAACTTTGAGAACTACTACAATCGTCATCATCAAAAAGGTACAAGTATTTATAAACAGTTGTCTACATAAGATACTCAATGTCCGTTTCCGGATATAACCACCAACAACCTATTGGGAGAGAGGATAAACCAGCTCCCAGCTGAAGAGGAGACTAGAAAAGACGTTGGAGGCGGATAGGAAATAAATTGAGGAAATCACCGAATTGCATCACGAGGCAAGCGCTAACTTGGAATCCTGAAGTAAAGAGGAAAATAGAAAGAATAAAGACACATTTAATCTTGAATTGGAAAGAGACATCAATAAGATGAGTAGCAACTTGGAACAACTGGAAAGGATTGCCCAGGACGGAGTTCAATGGAGATTCCTGGTAGGTGGCCTGTGGTCCTACGCGAAGGGAGACAGGCATAAGTGAGTAAGTAATCTTTGACAATAACTCTTTGATGTTTAAAACAATAGATATTCTATTCAGGTCCCAGTATAAACATCAAATCTTGGATGTAAATTCATTCGGCTGATGAATCTCAGATAGGGCAAAATTTACTTTCTGAATTCCACTATGTAAGCCGTATACCAAGCATATTAGATTATTATTAATTATTTGAGGAAACTAAGATTAATTTACCGGAAGATTTAAAAAATATAATTGGTAAATTAGCTTACATTTGGCTTTTCGTTGAATGCTTTAAGCTGATCTAAAAAAGACTGCTTGTTAACATGAGATTTCAAATTCTTAATAAAATCTGATTCATTCAGTGATGAAATCGAAAAACTGATTTTTATCTACAGAAAAAGCAAAACAGGTTCAAAGAGTTATCAAATTCTTGTTAAATGGAATTCAACCGTTTAATTAGTTGAATGTAAATTAAACATATGAAAGTGAATATATGCATATACATATATATTCTTGTTTCTAATAAAACTGAAAAAACTCATATCAGAGTGAAAGTAGTTAAGAAAATTTAAACACGGGATAATAAACCATCAGATCATCTCAAGTGATTCAGTTCAGATCTTAGAAGGAGCTCAAGATATGCATAAATGAAATTGAAAAAAGCAAAGGTTGTGTAGTATATTTCGGATTTTTAGTGATTTCATTGATAAAATAAAAGATGTAAGCTTCTACTTAGTTAATTACAAGTAATTCATTCTCTGAGCACGAATTCAATGTGGAATACATCCAACTTTAATTCAGTTATCGTCTAATGTCCATTGTCGATACTTGTCACTTACCTGTCTTGAGCAGACTCTGTTGCTAATCATTTACTGACAGGATTTTGTGGATCATTGTCAAGGTTAGTCACCAGTGGGCACGTTGATATGATTAAACTGGATGAAGTTTGGATATTGGTCTAATTTAAGTGTAGTTCATCTTACGGTTCCTTAAATTAATATAAGCGCATCAAGATAATTATTCTTTTTACTGAGGTCGATTTTATCATAGAACACTTCGTTTACTATTTTCATGCTGTTTAGATAAACATGGATAATAATGGCTCTTTATGATGAGATTATTGTAAGTGACGTCACAAAATTACCAGAAGATTTATTTGTTCAATATATACCATCTGTAGAAGAGTAGATATGTCCAATCTAGACTTTTATTTTTTTGATGATTATAATAAGAATAAACATATAATAGTCAGGTAAGGAAAATCTATGGATAACCAACTAAGTCAAACATATGAATAATCGTTTTGCAGTATTTATTTGTAAAGTTAAAGAAGACTTCTGTTGGAATGCACTGAAATAAGCTGTTAGCGACAATGAGATTTAGTTGACACTGAAATGCGTAAAATCTATTCTGTTCAACTAAGCACTGATTCCAGTTTTGAAGGTATAGACCGCAGATAATCTTACTGAACTTTGATTCTTTTTGATCTTAAATAAGGCAAGAACTACCATAATTACCGATGTTGTTCTGTGTTTTTTACGTGTCATAATGTTCTTTAATGGCTAGAAGGTAGATTGCATCATTTTTTTAGCTGAAAACCTTTTAACCATACACAAAACATGGTTCCCACAAATATGAGAATATTTATTTCAAACAGTTTAACGCTCGACTAATTTATTTAGACTAAATAGGCAAACAAGTAGGGTTATACATTTGTACTCTACAATTAAAAAGGGTTAGCTATTCACAATAACAGATTAAAAGGTGGAGATTACTTTCAATCGAACACCTACATCTAAATTTTTTATTAGGAAAGGACTAAGTAATAATCAAAGAATGGTTAAACTAGTTTAAACACAAGTTGGCAACATAAATACAACTATTTAGACTCAAAGAAACTTATGAACATTATTTAATAAAAATCAGCCAAAATATACAGTTCTCATAAAATCGTTTAATATTTATTTTTTTCAATGGCTACTCGTTTTCCCCTGAAACGAACGATTTTATTTTACAATTTTTACAGTAAACAGTTAGATAATATTAGTAAATGTACAGAATATTGAGTTGAATGAAGTTACATTTAATATGCGATTATTTTACCAGAAATTAAAATCTACGGCTTATTAAATTTAATAATAAAGTGTTAGTGTCAGTCAATGTAAAATTTTGACGGTAGGCATGAAAGATATTTATTGTCCCTAGATTTCTTATGATATACGGACTAAAAGCTGTTTGTACTAATGAGAAGTTTCGTTATATTTTGTTTTAGCCAAATGTAATGATCACTCTTGAGGATTTACGAAATTGAAATTTGCATTTGATGTGGAACCAAAAGCAAAACAATAAACCTTTTACCAAACGACAGCTAAACATTAACTATAAACGTAAATATTGATTCACGGATTGATAAAGAATCACTGAAATAACTTCCAATACAGCACTGAAAGATAGTTTTAAATCAGTTTATCAGTTTATATTTCGTTAAAAAAAGTTGAAAAATCGACAGTATTTTCAACATAAATTATGGAATTTAATAATAAAAAGAAATTTTGTTGTATTGTCTTTTCTAGGCCGCGTACAAGTAAGCGTCGATGATAGTATTCAGAACAGCAATGAAAGCTTCATAAAGAGACTATCCAATTCAAAGAAAGTAGCATCTATCTGAGTTACAAATCTTCACTATATCAGTAAAAAAATTTAGTTAAAGGCTTAAATAGTACTGTACACAAGTCGTTGCACTTCTACTGGAACTCAAATTTCTATTTATTTTGTATGTCTTCCTCTAAGCTTTGAAATAAGGTATTTTTCAAAAGTGTCGCTCGATGTTGCAGCAAATGTTTGTTGGTTTCATACTATTGAAAGCGGATACTGATAGATGAGAATCATCCATATTTAGTGATTAATACGTCCGTAATAAAGGACTGTTAAAAATCCTGTAAAAATGCGGACCAACAATGAAATATGCCAAGTGAAGGCAGAATTAGGTACAAACATGATTTTAAACTATCTAACAAATAGTGTTTGTCGAACTTGTCTGATATAAAGTAATAAAGAGTCTAACGAACTTAGACTTCATTTGTATTTCGTGTAGAGAGCTTTACACATCACCTTTAGTTCATCATACAGACTTTTTGGACCCTCACAAACATATGAATGAATTAAAGAATATTCAATTCGTAATCTTTGGTGCTTAGATTTCACTAGAAAAACTTCGTTCATGTTCCCAATAATGTGAACTTTCAGCCAACATAACCATACCACTTTATTTTTGAACAATCAAAGGTAAGTTGGTAACAACTTAAACAATAGTTTACATTTAGTAGTTAAGTAGATATCAATAAGCCTAATCTTACATCAGTAGCTATGTTATGTGTTAATTTTAAATTTCTTAGTAAGCTGTATAGTTCTTCAATAAATCGTTTTATGATTGACATATTTTGAGATTTGTCCATAAAGCAGTTTATTTAGACTAACCAATAGGCTTTGTACAGGCAATCAAATAAACACTTGAACATTAGTGCTAATGTATTTGAGAATAATTGTTTTAACTATCGGATATTTAAAGACGAAATCACTAGCAGAATAAATGGTTTACTAGACGAACAACATACTTTTAAAATGTGCCGTAACCTACATTAATTTTTGGAGCCATGAAATGCAGATAATATCTGATAAATATCTTCAGAACATTTGAGGTTGATTTGAATAAAAAATTACAAAAGCAATTTAATCCACAGAAACACGAAATATTATCTGACACACTGTATGTAATCCTATATTTCAGCATCATTATTAACCTTTGATTTGTTTGCGGTTACTAGAACAACCACTGTGAGGATGATAGACTGATTCTATTCTGCCTCCAAACTACTACCCAAATCAATCTTTTTGAGAAAATATCATAGCTTCATTTGATTTTCTACTTTACGAAGGTAGAACGTACGAATATTAGCACTTGTACTCATTAAACATCTCCATTCACCTATGATGCTGATTTCAGATATTTGATTAGAAACATCAAATAAGTCATAAGGGTTTGAAATCTGACACGAAAATAAATGTTGAAAGCATATTTGATAGAATCTTAATAAATTAAAGATCCACATATTACTTAAACTCATTAAAAAGATATTCGCTAATTGTAACTGAAAACCAGCTTATAGATGAAGTCCTTTAAATGACAAATTAATCACACAACTTTAGCGAGAATTCTTTCTTGGGAGAAAATGTACAAATTTTCTGTCACTTGGTGTTAACATTTCTATAGAATTAAGTACTGAGAGATTAAGGTAGACGTACCAAGACCTATCCATTTCTAATAGTTACATAAATTTATCCTCGAAACAACGAATCGAAAACTTTTGAAACCTAGTTTACCTCACAAATAAGGATGTTTTCTTGATGTAATCATGCATCAAACATTGACAATTCATTTTTTTGTACGGTATTTGTTTCCTGAAATATAAGACTAGCAAACGTAAACGATAATCTGCTTATTGTTCTCAGTTAAGATGTGCACCCTAGGATCATATGATCAACTACTTAGGACGTAGCAGAGATCTTATTATCAGGATTTCGTGACAAGCTTCTGTACAAAATTCTAATGCAGTAACACGACCTCTGAATAGAATTTTCGGTACAGCATAGAACTGTGCTTCCTAAAACTTGCTAAGAAACAAATATAGTGACTTCGCTGATATGAGGACTAACCTTCGAGTTCAGAAATGTTACGTGGCAGTTTCTTTGCCAGCGACTTCATAAAACAGCATATTGTTATTCTTTCTATACAAAATAACCTACAGGCTGTAATAATAAACAAATTTATTAGTGTTCAATGGACAATTTGCCTGCGCTGTTTGAACGTTTGGGCACATTTATTGGTTATTTATAATAGATAGCAGTAAGATAACTACAGAAACATTTGTGACTATCAACGTAGATGTACATAACACGTAAGCCCTAAAAATAAATATCTCACAGGCTAATAACAGCCATAAACTGAACTACATGAATAATAAAGGTTACGAATATAAATGAATTGGTCGAGTATTGTGAAATGTTGACAAATAAGAAAGATAAACAACAAAATTCTTAAGAATGGTGAAAACGAATATGTACATATTCGTATTCCTCATCCCTTCTGAAAAAGAGCATGTTCCCAATCTCAAAAAACCATGAAAACGTGATGAGAGTATTTAATTTTAAAATTAAGGGAGATCGATGAATTTACATGGTGAGACATCATGATGAACTAATTGGTAAGTGGTAAATGATGAGCATGTTCATATCATGTTTTGACATTATCAATGCAACGATAATCAATCTTGATGGGTCACGTTTGTTTGCTAATGAATATTTCACACTAACCAAGACGATTTCAAGCTGCATAAATGTATAATTTATAGGTTGTAACATAGAACGTACCGTCGACGTTTTGAAAAACCTCAAAGTTGGTTAAATGTACTCTGATTTCACTTAAAAGGTAAAACAAAAAAAGTATAAACTCACACGTTTTCAGTAATGAAGACAGTGAGTTGGTGAACCTGTGTTTATCTTGACAGATCGGTTTTCAATAAAAATTCAAACTTTTCTTATAAGGCGCTTCAGTGGTAGACAACTCGATAAGAAAACGGGACCACAATTTGAGTTTATTCGATCGCCGTTTGTGAACCCTCTTGACATGACCTCAGATACTAATAGTGCTGGAGAGATCAAAAAGATAAGATATATTAAGATTCGGATCATAATTAAATGTAATAAATATCAGTATAAGGTCACCTCGCCTCCTACGATGGGACAAGGGGAAGAGGTTTAGGCGTTTTAAACGCTCATATTAAGGGAGTTTAGAAAAACTTTTCACTAATTTCGTCTCCACACGCTGAACACGCTCAAGTAATTTGATATCCCTTATTTGACGTAGGCCAGGCAAGATCAGTGTTAAAAAAGATACAGTTTTCGATGTAGTAATATAATCAGCTATGTTGATATTTTGTAAGATATGAATGAAGATCGTTTTAGTCAGTATCGCAGTTCACGTGCCTTAAGAAGGTTGCGTCGCGACGTAAAACTGATGGTCGAGAATAGGTGGGGGGCGTCTACATACTTCAACCTTATATAACTCTGGAATATCTGAGGCTTTATTGAATGAGTTAGACTGTTCTTCAGTTATTAGTGATTCTAAAACTTGTATCATGGTTTATATAGTGTCATTATCGCTATTACCAATATTAATAGTAATTGTTTTCCTGTCTAACCTTTTTTCATATCATCTCCGTTTTGTGGTCGATTTTAGCCATTGATCTGGTTATTTATTTACTTAATCGGTAAATGAATTTTTTGGTCATCCTGTTAGCTTTGAGCACATTTTCCACCCTTTTAACCATCCACATTCTACTTTTAGATGTTTCCTGCTATGACTAACCAGTGAAAGTTCATCTCTCGTCGATACTATTAGGGGTTTTCGGCTTTTAATATTGCAAAATTCCTCTCGTTTGTCAACCAGTACTCCTTTGTACAAAAGCTATGGCTTTGGATCAGTGTCGAAAATGTGAGGTAAATAACTAAAAATGATTTTAAATATCTACATTAAACTGTTTTCGTGAATGTTTATTACATGGTAGTATCAACTACTTCGCACACATACTACTTCTATCATTTTAAAAAGCACATGCGCCCTTTGTCTTTATTTTTCCGACTAATTACAGCTTTTTTGGCTGGATAATCATAGTGTTATGATTTTACTACATCTCATTGACTGAAACAGTCGTCATTACTGTGTATTTTGAGACTATTGTCTCGAGATAGATGTATTCATTCTATCTCTAGATATAACTAACCTCAAGAAACTGTCAAGTCCACTAATACTACTGCCTCCAAGTTGAACGTTTGCCCGTATATGACGGTAACGAAGATTAGAAACAGCACATTAACATCAGAAAGAGAGAGCTATGAAGCCAGATGATTTACATTGGATCTCCATAAAGATATTGGCCGCGCTATACATATGTATATTCTTATATAAACTATGTTATACAAAATTTCTCTGAGCCTTTCATAAGATTCTGGATGGAGTAAGAAATAAGAACTTCTTACTTCCTCTTTTACGTGTAAGTGACAATCGGTAGTAAATAATGCTGTTCCTGCATTGACAATAATCACAGTATTAACCTGATTCAGCTTCACCGGTGAACCTGTATATCCTATTGGCCACTGACCTCTCCATATGATTCTTAAATCACAATAATCTAGGTGTGATTGTAGGATACCAACTAAGGTGTGGATTAAAAATAACTGTCTAGGTAGTCCAAATACTAGCTATTGCCCAGTTGAAAACAAAGCAAAGTGATTGGGTGAAAGACAACTCTAGATTTTATCATAAATATAAACGTAAATTATTACCCAAACAAATATTACCACCCGGTTATTCAACCAGTAATTGTTCAATCAGTAATCATATTGACGGCAACAATCAAATATTATTCTACCCTTTCTTGGTAAATCCCGTACAGATGCGGTCGGAAGATAATTTTTAGTCGTGTTTTTGATATATCTTGTCGTTTAACGCTACTTTATATCTGGTCGTCGATAATTTTCGTGTCGAAAATGCTCATCACTTATACTCGAAACAAGAGAGCCCTGCATTTCTCATGACGCGAAAGTTAGAACACAAGATTGGCCCCAGAACACGACGATGAGGACCCTAGTCGAAAATACACTCATTTATATATTGATTGTACACAGAATTTCATTAATAATTAGGATGAAATCAAATATATAAAAAAAATACTCAGCTATGACAAATCATGTGCTGAGCATAGCCCATGTCAATTGAAACACGAATATCGTATTTTATACAAAATAAGACATCATACGAGAAAACTAAACAAATGTTAGACTGAGTAATCATTACATTAAATCGAAACGGTAGTAACAATGAACAAAACTCATAATGAATAAATCAATCGAATTTTGATTTTTCTTCCCGTTATATTAGTTACAACGCAAAGCGTTTCTAATTCTCGAGGAGTGGTTCAATTAACAATCAAAAATGCACCATTCCGCAAGCAACACAATCAAAAGGGAGCAAATCAATTTCTGCTGCCAAATAAGAGTATCAAGTAAAACAACAAAAATGTAGTTCAGGAAGTAACATGGGAACTCAGAAAAGAAAACTCCTCTACCTCGGGGTTCTCTCTGGTGTTTAAGCTTTTCGTCTTTAGTGATCTCATTTCCGCGTCGTCGACTTTCTAGTGAAGTGGTAACAGGAAATGATTCAGTTACCATTATACTTTTCCGTAGCTTGAAGTCTTAATGACAGATATTTGTAGACATTGAACGTCAACTCACTGTTTTGTTCAAGTAGTGCTATGTCTCATTGAAGCGTCTGTTCAGCAGTTAAATTAGCACATCTATTTTGGTGGTTTCGGAGTCCCTA